ACTTATACTACTATTCCTACTTGGCGTATAAGTCGCAGGACTGACAAATCTATGCAAAAATCTGCGACTTATACGCCAGAAAAATATGGTAAGAGGAAGCAAAATGTGTGTTTACATTTCAGGCCAAGAGTCGGTCAGTGCATCAGCTCATCAATTAAAGTCACTAATTGGATCTCCTGTTTGGCATTCTTCACATGAATGAGACGAATATTGAGGGGTTTCTCACAGCATGGCATTTCTAAAAGCTGAAATCAAAGTCGTTGAAACTAAAAGTGTTGCTGTTGACTTGTGTCATGCTGACAGGTTGTGGGACCTGGAAGGGAATGAAACAGCGGTTCTACGACTCCGCTCGCCGGGCGTCAGCGTGTGCTGGCATCCAGAGGAGACGTTTAAGGTGGGACTGAGGGAGGCATATGACAAATAATCCTCCAATATAAATTAGGCCTGTCGCGATAAACAATAAATCAATTGATCGCATGATTAAGGAAAATTATCAACCTCATTTTCATTTATCGGCTTTATTGTTTCTTCGTGTCTCTCTTTCTACTGAAGACACTGGATGACAAAAGGCTCAACTCCGATGCTCTTCACTGACCCCTCCCTTTCCTTTTTCTCTTTAAAATCTATTTTGACATGTTTTTGGATCGTGAAAAGCATCTAAACTGAGAAGCTAAGCTACGAGCTAAGTTAACAGGCCGACCTCGGTGAAAAAGCCTCCGTCTTGTCGAAGCTCTAAAAATCACGGTTGAAACTCGTGCCTTCGTGTAAAAAGTTGTTTTTCTCTGCAAAAAGAAAAATGCTATGCTAAAGAGCTCAAATCACACCGAGCATCCACCAGAACCGAAAAGAGACAGCCCATGTCACGTCAAGGGGCCTCCCTCCCATTTTTCTTAAAGAGACACGCTGCTCGCTCCCTCACTCTCCATCCTTCGGTTCAAACAGTCTTATACTGCCATCCAGTGGTCAAAAAAGGTACTACATGCAAAACAAATCAACATGCCTTCTTAAATTTGACGATAATTACTAATTATCGTCAAATTTCAAACAGTATTATTGTTTATCGCAATAATTTCTGAGACAATTAATCGCCCAGCAAAATTTGATATTGTGACAGGCCTAATATAAATATTCATGTAATATCAATGAATTGTAAAAAGCTTTGTGGTTTAGCAAATTTCCTTGACTGCGTCTAATCTTGTAACACGTTGCGTCTAGTGTCTTTTCTCGACTTGCGACCAAAGTTTTTCTTCTTGTCACCAGTTGATGGTGGCGGAGAAGAAGGGGACAGTTCGTTTTTACGACCTGGTCACGCAGCAAGCCATCCTGTCACTGGACTGCGGACACTGCGGCCCGCTCATGTCCGCCGACTGGTGTCTTACCAATACCATCAAAGTGGGTGGCGTGGCGGGCAACGACTGGCTGATCTGGGACATAACGCGCTCCAGGTGTGGCTGGGGATGGGTTGGGGCGTCCTGATGCTGGTGGATGTGTTTATCTGGGGCGCGTCTTAATCCTGCTTTATTGTTTGCAGCTACCCTCAAGAGAAAAGACCGGCCCACAAAGACAAAGCACGACTATTTAAGTAAGAAAATCCATTTTTTTTTAACTTAATGAAAAAAATTTCTGTATTTGATTACCGGTAATAAAAGTTAATTTTTCCTACTGAGAACATGAAAAATATACTTTCTAAGTGTTTGAAAGCCATTTTATGGGTTTGAAAATATCTCATTGGTGGCCACACTTCTACACTCAGAATTAATTTGGAGTCATATTGGTCTTAAATTAAGCTGAATGAAACTTGCAGAAACCGTGTTTAAAAATCAGCCTACTAACCAAACAGCCAAAATCAACTTAAAAGAAAGAAAATATGACAAAATGGGGGAAACTCTGAGTATTTTGAAGCCTGAATAAATTGGAGGGTAAATGACGTTTCTGAATGATTATCACTGTTTATTTTTTCAGTCAATTTGTTGTTCTTATGTTTTTTCATACGATAATAATTTGTGGTGTATCAAAAGTTATTACCGTACTTGCCGCCGTACACATCGCACCGCCATATAAGTCGCATCAGTCCAAATATGTCTAATAAAATGAAAAAAAAAAACTTAAATAAATTCCCGTATAAGTCGCATCTGTTATGCGTCACCGCTGACCACCTGGAAACGTGGACCTGTGTTGTGCAAAAAATCTATTGGCTGCCAAATAGCGGCCGCGGGAGCACGCACGGGAGGACTTTAACAATAATTTAACAAGATTAACACTTTAAAACAATTATTTGTTTGCTCGACTTTATAGCAAAGGTGTGTCTCAGTTGAACTTTTCCTTAATAAATGCACTTTAATGGTCAAATCAGCTGCATTTTGACTGGACAGTGCGGTAAAATGCAGCTGATTTGACGTTTGCTCCAGGAGTTCCAGAGCGAGACGAAGGTGCTCTGTATGGCAAGCCAAGTGTCACATTAATAGCCACTTTTACCTATTCATGACACACTTGGCTTGCCATAATGCTCGAGGGCCCTCTAGTGGCTGAAAATGGTAGTGTTCAATATTTTCCATGTCAAAATGAATGAAATCATCAGATTTCAGCCAAAAATCGAGTTATAAAAAAAAAAAAACGTATATTGGTTGCTTCGGTGTATAAGTCGCAGAACTTGCAAATTTATGCAAAAAAGTGTGACTAATATGGCGATAAATACGGTACATGGATTTTCTGAACATCCTGGTGTCTCAGCTGAATCAGATGCAACAAAAAAACCTGTGAAGTTGAACCGTTTTATTTTAATTTTTTTATATTTTACCCAAAGCAGGTCAAAATGTTTAACAAAAAATTTGAAGATAACATACACTGAATATTAATCTTACATTTATTCACAGTTTTAAAAGATGATCTTCTTTTCAGATGGTCTCTTGCCAATGAAAACCTCTTTGCGACCACCGGATGTCCCGGTAAAATCAGCAGCCAGTTATTCATCCACCATCTTGGCCACCCTCAGGTTGGTGCGATTCTCTCTCCAGATCACGATCCGTTCTATGTTCCTCGCAGCTCACTCGTGTCTCGTGTCTTGTGTTGCAGCCGGTAGTGATCGGGTCGTCTACGGTCGGTTCTGGCCTCAGCTGGCACCGGACGCTGCCACTCTGCGTGGTCGGCGGCGACAGGAAGCTGTGTTTTTGGATGACTGAGATGTAGCCGGATGAATGGATGCACCGTCCGTTTTAGTAAATGTTCAATAAAATCTATTTTTTCAGAGGAGTTATGACTTTGTATGGATTTTTATGGGAAAAATATGCATTTAAAATCTATTCTGACCCTTTTCAGGTCCGGTTCAGATGAATGTTTCTGATTGGTTTGAGTCTTCCGTGTGTTTTATGTCCACTTCTGTCTCAGTCCCCTCAGTTGAATTTCCACTACAGCTAATATTTACACAACTTTATAAACCAGTCACTCATGCAGAGCCTCAGATTGTTTTAACATGGTTACATTCTGAAAATTAAAATCACCCCGAGCAGGTAAGATACTGTTTACCACAAGCTGTTTTACTCATTTTAAATGAAACTACTAGAAACAATCTGGTCTGGTTTACTGTTATTTTTATTTTTTATTTTTTTTGGATTATAAGGTGCATTATACAAAATAAGTTCATTTTGACAGATTTTTGAACGCCGTGTACCACATAAAATCGGTTTGAGGTTAGTAAGCACAACCATAATTGTTATAAAGCTCACCAGATTATAAGGCTCACTGTCGATTTTTAAGAAAATTAAAGGATTTTAGGTGCGTCTTATAGTCCGAAAAATATGGTAACTGCCTTATTTTTTTGTCTTTTACTAATCGGGACAAACAAATCACAGTTACAAAACCTAATTTTTGTGTAAATATTGATGTTTGCAAGTGTCTTAACGCAGAAGGAACTGTGATTTTAGGACTTATCAAGCAGTGTTTGCATAAATCATTATGTTTTAGGATTGAGGTTTTAACAATACAGATCTGAGTGATTATCCAAACTATTCTGAGCCATTTCTACTGCAGGTAAGATGTTGATTACTTGTAGCTTCCAAGAACACTTAAAAATCCAAATTATCCTTAAGCTTTTTGACATTTATAATAAAAATGTATGTAATCTTTCATATTCTGGGTTCTGTTAGTTTAGTAGGGATTATTTCTTGTAACTAGGAGGAGGTTAACTCCTTCCACCTAGTGACGTCCTGCTGCTTCAGGTGAGTTAAGGTGTCATTTTCATTTCATGTGACGTGACGCCATCTGTTGGCAACATGGGGCCTCTGCTTCATCCAAATGGTCATCTCTTTCCCAGCAGGTGCTGAAACTCTTGTAGCAGCCTCATGTTTCCTTATAAACTTGGGGTAAAAGTGAAGTCAGACTGCCGGAAAGCCAGCTCTTCTAATCTCCCTCCTTCAGATAATTCTGCAGCCCTGCCAGCTTTAATCCCAGGCTCAACTAGAAAGGGAGCAAACAAGTAATGAGCCTCATTTGAGCGAAACAGACAGATTAGAGTCTTTTTTAAGCTGCTTTTCTCCCAGAATGAAACTATTTATGCTGATCTTTACGAGAAGAGAAACTAAAACAAAATTAAGAAAAAGTAAGTTTTGACTGGGGTTTGCTTTACATTCCAGATGCAGCTGTCTCATAATATGATGGGGTGTTTTATATATTGTTTAGTTTAATGCATTTTGTCGCAGGAGCACTCAAGAATGCGTTTGACCATTTTATTGTTTAAGACGCTTCATGACAAATCCTGGACAAAAGTTCAGACTCTAAACGTTGGTTTTAAGTTATTTGTACCCAAACTGGTTTTAGAATTGAGGAGTTGCAGCTCAGAGGAACTTTTTATTATTATTTTTTTTTAATGGGAAGTTCTAATTAAAGAAAATGGAGTGCTTGAATTATTTTTATTTATTTCCCTGACATTTTTAAATAATATATGGCTGCAGTAGCTTGGTGGTCACTGCCACAGTTTTATGAACTGCAGGTTCTGAGTTCAAGCCCAGGTTGTGTCAGGAAGGGCATCCGGTATAAAACAAATTGCCAAATCTTTCATGTACACTTGCTGTGATGACCCCTGAAGAAGTGAGCAGCCAAAAGAAACTTACATTTTTTTAAGAATCTTCCAGTAATTAAATCCTTTGAGCACACACTTAATATTTGTCATAAAATACACTTTGGGATGTCATTTGCCTTTTGTTTGTCATATTTTTAAAGATCATTTCATAAAACGACTTGGGTTCTTTAAAGAAGAGGGAAACCGCCTTCATCTTTGCAGCTTTTCACTTCCTCTGGATGGCATTCCAGTTCTAAAGTTAAAAGTATTGCTGTTGTTTTTGATCAGGACATGTCTTTTAACCCCCGCGTTAAAAAAAAGTTACCTGGACCGCTTTCCTCCACCTTATTGTTCCATACTTTCCTAACAATGCACTTTGCTTACAGACTCCAGGTTTACTTGTGGTTCCTAGAGTTTCCAAGAGCAGAATGGGAGGAAGATCTTTCATTTATCAGGCTCCTCTCTTCTGGAACCAACTTCCAGTTTTTGTCCATGAGGCTGACACATTGTCCAGTTTTAAGACTGGGATGAAGACTTTCCTTTTTGATATATATAGTTAGGGTTGGCTTGGGTTCCCTGAGCTATCCCTTAGTTATGTTGCTATAGGCTTACACTGCTGGAGGACAAATTGACCATATCTCTTCACTTGGCTGCTGTCTTTATTACTCTACCTGTTTTGCATTTGTAATTATATTCATCCTTGTGTTTTTTGTCTTTCCTCCTATAGAAAATACACCTGGACCTGCCATTCTGTGTCTGTTTCTTCGTACTTTTCTCTCAAACCCCAGCAGGTCGAAGCAGACGGCCGCTCGTCCTGAGCCTGGTCCTGCTGGAGCTTACTTCCTGTTAAATGGCAGTTTTTCCTTCCCACTGTTTCCTTTATGCTTGCTCAGGATGGGAGACTGGGACCAAGTGAAGATTCAGAGCAATCTGCCGGCTTCCTTAGACAGAGAACTTGTCTTGTATAATGTATGTGAATGTTTCTGTTCAGTGCTCTGAGACGACTTCTGTTGTGAATTGGCGCTATTTAAAAAACCTGGACTGACTTGATTCGGCTTTGAAGGAGATGTTTCACCGTGAAGTGACCATCTGAAGAATCTAAACACGTAGAAGAAACGTTTGGAACCCAACAGCACTGATTGATACGTTCGCCTTTATACAGAACTGTAAAAAAGTCTTGAGTCATCCCTCATGTCTTTATAGAATCCTAGCCAGGTCCATGTGGACCAGCTTGGATTGTGTAATTTAGTTTTTTTCAACAGTTTTTCCAGCTTTATGATCGTATTTATGCAGCATTATTTGGACTTTTATTAATTAATTAAAATGATGTCACTTTCTTGTTTACTTAAACTCCTAGTTATTTCCAAATAGCAGCAGCAGCTAGCTGTAGCGGTTCACGTGCCGCCTGGAAACACTTCCAGAGCAAATACTGTAATATGTGTGTAATGGTTTAAACGTGTTTTCATAAACCTCTGCTTCTATACTAAAGCTGTTTTAAGATGACATCATTCGGACTAGCCATCAGCTCATCTGTTCAGTCTGTCTGTTCAGTCTGTTCAGGAAGCTATCTGCAACAGGTAAGATATTCGTTGTTCATAACCTTTTCACAAATGAGTTATTTTTATGAAGTCTAAAAGTTCAGTTTTGTTAAAATATTCAGAGTTGTGCAGGTGTTTGTTGGGTGATTTTCTTCCCAACTTCTCAAATCTTGATGGTTTTCAAACCCAGAATGTTCAGCAAACAAAGCGAACAGTTTGTGTTTATTAAAACAGCTAAATAAATCTTGTCCCAACGCTATAATTTCAAAGTTCTCTCGGCCTTTACGAGCTGAAGTTGAATAAAAAAAGGAATACAGTTCAGGCCTGAGGACAAAGTGAACCTCTTGACCTCGCCTCCAGTTCAGATGATAACCGAGCCAGCTTTGAGTTGTTCTTGCCCTCGCATCAATCAGCGAGACACTTTTTCTTGGAGGATGCACCGTTTCGAGCTCTTCAAGGCCCAAAACTGTAGCCGAATCTCTTGTGGTTTAGTTGCTGCAGCAACCTGCTTCAGATTTGAACTCTCTGTGTTACCCAAAATCTCAGTTTCATGGAGGGATTGTGGCTTTAGGAGAACCGAGTTTCAAAAGAGAGTTTAGATTTTTTATTTTTTTTTAATCTTTTGTCTGCTCTTCAAACACAGGCTTTCCCAGGGAGGCTTGATTTACTGTGCTGTGGAATTATGGGAAAGAAAATGTTGCCAGCCTTCGTCTCGATGATGCTGTTGCCTTATGAATCCAGCAGATGGAGACGATTTGTCTTCTTGAGGGAAAGCTTTTGACGTGTGCGGCTCTGATATGCATTGTCGCCTGCGTGGAGATCAAAATGCCGGGGGTTCAAATTCTCTATTCGCACGCAGGAGGAGAGAAAAAAACAAAAAGCCAGAAGAGCATCTGTCAGCTCTGTGGTCGGCTACGAGGTCTCCGTGACCTGGTCCTGGTAATGTTCTGGGCCTCACTGCTGGCTCAGGCCTTATCCAGCAGAAAGAGAACACAATACTTAAATCATTCATAATTAGCTCCTTCCCTCTGCTTAATAACACATGAAGATAAATGGCTTCCAAGAATTTTCCAAATGAAAATAGTTGGTTTGGAATTAGAAGCTAGGAAACGCTCTCAGAGTGGTTCGCTCCTCTGCTTCTCCAGAAGGAAAACCTACACTTTTAAAAAGGACAGAACTTCATGAAAATAAGCATTGATTTTTACATCGTCACAATTTACACTGGAATGAAAGACTACGATGGGATTTATCTGTGAATCTTTACTCTGATCTCTGCAGAAGGTCCAGTCAAGGCCCTACGATGCGCTGAGCTTCTCCAGAGCGCCGTGAAGGGTCTTCAGGTCCTCCCTCATCCGGCTCAGAGCGTTCTGGATCTTGCTCGGCTGGTCCAGAACCTCAACGCTGCAGGTAAAAGGGTCATAGCATACGGCAAAGGGGCGCTTGATACTCGCAGAATACTTCCTGTTAAAACAAAAATATATATATTTAGTACGTATACAAACTACACATCAAAATATATGTATGTCTTCTATCATCTAGTGTGTCTCTCACTGCTACACAACTTACATTTTCCACTCAAATCTCCTTTAAAATGATAATTACACGCCCAAGATTTTAAAGACGTCAATTACATTGTGGGGGTTTTGGACCACGCCCCCCCACCCCCCACCCGTGCACGCGATAAGTCAAGAAATATGAAGTAGGGATAGTAGTACAAATAGTACTAGTTTATTTTAGTTAGGGCCAGACAATAATTCGATATCGATATATATCACGATATACTTCTATTCAATAACGGTGATGTGAGTTTTAAGCACATATTCGATACAGTATTTCGATTCGATTACAGCGTTTCACTGGCGCATTTCGTTTTCTGTTCGGGTTGAAGCGGCCGCTTCAGTTTCAACCCGAACAGAAGTGTGTGGTGACGCAGATGTTACGCAGAGCTCGAGTCCAGAAGGCGTTAGCGGTAGCAGGCTAGGCTAGGCTAATCTCAAACATGCGGTAAGTTTTCGCTTCAAAATGAGTTTCCATTACCGTCAGAATGCGACTGAACAAACTTTCGCAAGCGAAGAGAAAGCAGATGACATCATTGATAAGAGAGGAAAGACTAATTTGGCGATGTAGAAGTGGTTCGTCTATCTAAGATCCGATAAACTGCAGGTTTCAGTGCTGCAAAATGTGATGGAGAGTTGTTCCAACTAGCGGTGGGAACACATCGAACTTGTTCCACTCGACAGAATATGCTGAGAGTCAGAAGATGAAGCACAATAAAAGTCTGAGCCAACGTGTCCCTGAAACATCACCCCCAGCTGCATCAAAAGAGAAACACATGCAGCAAACGGTTAGGGTTATGTTGTTGTTAAAGTTCAAACTATTAATATCGACAAAGTTGAGAGTTTTATGTTTATTTGACGGTGATTTCAAATTTCTTTGAAGGCTAAATACAAATAAAAGGTGAACGTTAATTTATTTGTACAATTTTTCGGAGGCTTTTTTATTGTTTATATTGATATCGGAATTATATCGTTATCATCCGAAATTAAGAAATATATCGTGATAAAATATCCTGATGCATGCTCAATAATCCAGGTAGATCCAGGTATCGTGATAAAAGTTTTGGCCATATCGTCCAGCCCTAATTTGAGTATTTATATATATATTTAAGGCTTTATAAACCCTGCCCACATTAAACTATAAATGCTGTAAAAGAGCACAGCATGTCATGATCTCTGCTCTCTGTCAGTCCACTGCAATCACTCCTCACCTCCCGATCTCGCTCCTTCTGTGTAAATAAACAATTAAAATTTAAATATTGTAAAATTTTAAATAAATAACCCATGCAGCAAGAATTGTTTATTTAAAATATTGCAACATGTACATTGAAATTGTAGAGAGAAGCGCAGCAGGCCTTCACGCAGCAGCAGCACGGAGCAGAAATGTGGGCGTGGCAGAGAGCCGCAGGTGGCAGAGAGCGGAGATCATGACAGGCTGCAGGAGGGAGCTTCTCCCTGCACTCAATGATTTAGCAGGTGTTAAATCATTTTAAATTATTTTAAATAAGCAATTCATGCCACTCGTGTATGGAGGACGGCATGTGACAAAATTAAATCAATAAATACATAATAATGAAATGTATAGTTTAATTACTAAATACACCATTAAATGATTAAATACACAATTAAATGATTAAATACACAGTTAAGTTACTTATTTCATGATTTATTTATTTATTTAATTTTGTCACATTCTGTCCTCCAGTGTATGGTGACAAAAATAAATAAATCATGAAATAAGTAATTTAATTGTGTATTTAATCATTTAATTGTGTATTTAATGATGTATTTAATAATTAAATAATACATTTCATTATTACGTATTTATTTATTTAATTTTTGTCACATTCCGTCCTCCATACTCGAGTGGTTCATCCATCAATCAGCCAAATGTGTGTCATGTCCAATCTTACTTTGAAAAAATGCAAAAGTTGAACCGCGAAGTAGCGAGGGACTTCTTAAATCGTAGCTCAAAATATTCTCTGAAGGATTTTTATTTATTTATTTTTACATTTGTCATATCTCCTACGTAAAACACTGAAGGATCATAAAGCCGTCTACATGTGACCATCAGCGTCTTCTGCGCTCACAGTTCAAGGGTTTTCAAGAAGCGGCCTAAAGTTTTCTCACAGTGACTCCTCGGTGCAAAACTTTTCCGTCTGTTTCCGTCTACCTCTCAGGTGCGCTGTCAGAGAGTGGCAGACACAGGTTACCATGGTAACCATAATGAGGGTTTTGGTTCTCACTTCTTGTACAGCTCATACATGTACCAGCTACGCCTGTAGTGTGAGGTGGGAGTGATTTCAGCAGGAGTCTGATACCTCAGCTTCATCTTTGCATCTTCAAAGCTGTCGGACACAAAGTAAACGGGCTGGTAGGTTTGGTCCTGGTAGGGCTGCACCGCCGTCTCCTCCGGGTCGAACGCCTTGTACTCCGGCTTGTTTGACAGCGCGTACTGGGAGGGGGACGCAGAGAGCCCGTCAGCACATACTGAGCAAACAGCCAAACCCTTGCGTGCAAGAAGCGGTCGCACTCACAACAAGCTCTCCATACGAGGAGAGGAGGCCGGCGCCGTAAGCTTTCACCTCTCCGTTCTGCTTGCAGAGGCCGAACTCCACCGTGAACCAGTACAACTGCAGAGGAGGAGAGAACGCCTGACGATGCCGTTCTCCACTTTAACCTTTATGGAGGTGAAAGCGCGTTAAACGCAGGGGAAGTTTACCGTTGAAAGTTTCTCAATGTCCTCGTCTGAAGCTCCAAGAGAAGCCAGTCCAATCTCCTGGTGACAAACAGAAGTGTTAGCATAATATACTGTAGGTGGATTATTTACAGAAACACAAAGGGGGTGTGTTCACCTGAGAAAACTGGGCAAACTCTTTATCTGCCAGCATGGGGACGTGGCCGAGCAGCTCGTGGCAGCAGTCTCTGTCGGGGCAGATCAAATCAGGGGGACAAACAAAGAAGAATAGAAACACGACGAATGAGGTGAACTCACGGCTCAGGGGAGTGCATGGGCGAGGACGAGTGTCGGATGTACTGGGTGCACTGGAACACCCGGAAGGCCAAACTGGCGAGGAAGTCTCTGGCTGACAGCAGGCCGGCCACGGGGCGCAGCTGGAAACCAGTTTTCTCTGAACTCACAGGAGAAAGTAGACCAAGTCAGACGCGAGGAGTCTAAAATGTACTCTTGAAATTCTATATTTGTGTTCCAGAATGAAGAAGAAAACTTTTAAAGTTTATACATTTGCAGGAATTTGGAAATTTCACACAGAGGAGGCTCTCGTGTAATTTTAGGCTTCGAGAAACTTCACTTAACTTGAATTATTTTAACTTCTATGAGGAGAAAGCCTCATTACCTGCATGCTCTTTGCTACTTTGACCCATTTCAGAACCCACGCAAACGTCATAATATTGTTTATTTTTTCTACTTTTAGCAAGAAAAATGATGCTTAAACCTGAATTTTAAAGGATGACGTGACAACCTGTGATCTATTTTACTCTGCAACATATAATCCACTGAAAAGATTTAATGATGAAGATTTTTAATGAAGTTTAAATAAAACCAACACATTTCTGTTGACACGTTTATCTGCTTAAATGTAAAAACTGATGTTTTTAGAATATTTGAAAGGCTAAAACAATAAATGTGCCGCATAAGTCTCTGTACTAATTTTTGATTTTATGTTTTCTTATTTCCTTGTTATTTTTTTTTTTTACTTCTTTCCACTAGATGTCCTCAATCCCTTCGGTTTTCCTGCTCCATGCTCACCTGTTTCCACACACACATACACTCTCTCTCTCTCTCACACACACACACACACACACACAAATTCATATATGTATATATGTATAGTGTGTATATTAAAAATGTACTCTTTCGGCTAGATCTGAAGAGCGTC